ATACAATCCAATAATACACAATAGGCAACACTACAAAATACAAAACTCAATCCAATCCAATACGCAACAACACAATAGCTGTTACACAAGACAATACACAACACAAAAATCAATACAAAATACAATCCAATAATACACAATACGCAACAACACAACACTACAAAATAGAAGACTCAATCCAATCCAATACACAATATGCAACAACACAATACTATACACAATGTAAAACTCAATAAAATACAGTACACAATACAATAAACAACACAAAAGTCAATCGAATAATACACTACGCAACAACACAACTCTGTGCAAAATAGAAAACTCAATCCAATACAATACACAATATGCAACAACACAATACTATACACAATGCAAAACTCAATAAAATACAGTACACAATACAATACACAAAAGTCAATACAAAATACAATAATACACAATATGCAACAACACAACTCTATGCAAAATACAAAACTCAATCCAATATGCAACAACACAATAACTGTACACAATACAATACACAATACAATACACAATACAGTTCAACAAAATAGAATATAATAACCTCAAATACATCCAAAGGTTGCTGATGCTTTTTTTGGGGCCAGTGATTCCAGCTGCTCTTCACATCAGGAAATTTTTTCCCTAATATCCAGTGGGAAACGACTATCCTGCATCTCTGTTATTTGCACATCGCGGTTTGTTTGTTGCGCCGGATGTTAAGACGAGAGTCTCGCCTGGCGTCTGCTTTAGGAAAAGTGTCTTATTTTAAGAACATTCTCCCCATCGGCCTTTCCAGAACGTGCCGGACTGCGTCTTGTATTACTACTTGACCAAGAAAAACGAAAACTACAAAGCCCTCGTGCGACGGAACTACGGCAAGCGGCGAGGGAGAAACCAGGTGAGTTGCCTTCGGAGTTTCTAGTCCCTGGTGTTCTTACAATGGAAAAGGCTGGTTTTTTTAATTGTGCTTCTTTTTGGAATTGGGCCAGGATGGTGATTAGCTCCATTCATTTCGGCGAGGAAGGATTTTTGGCTTGGCTGTGTGTCTGTGTTACATTCTTGGGTTTGTTACACAGGTAGTCTTCGACTTACGACCACAATTGAGTCCCAAAATGTCTGTTGCTGAGCGAGACAATTGTTAAGTGAGTTTTGCCCCATTTTACCGACCTTTCTTGCCATAGTTGTTATACGAATCATTGCAGCTGTTAAATTAGTGACACAGTTGTGAATCCGGCTTCCTCCTTAACTTCTCTTGTCGGACGGTCGCAAAAGGGGGAATCACGTGAGCCCGGGACACTGCGACGGTCACGAATACGAGTCAGTTGCCAAGGGTCTGCATTTTGACCTTGTGATCATGGGGATGCCGCAAAGTGTGAAAAAAATGGTCCTAAGTCACTTTTTTCAGGGCCGTTGTAACTCCAAACGGTCACTAAACGAACTGTTGTAAGTCGAGGACTACCTGTGTGTGAAGAAGACTTTTGTCACCGTTGGCCAAACATGGTTGTGAAGCAACTTCTGGATATTTGTGTATTAGCCGTACGAATAAAATTGGGCACCCTCAGGACCAATATTTGTTCTCTATGATATCCAGGTTTCTTAGCTAGTCACCAGGAATGGATTTCAACTCCCCAGGAGTGTCAGCTCCACTTGGTAGATCAGACCAGCAGATCCACGTTGTTGTGATTGGCTCTCATATAAGAGAATCTTGTAAGAATTGTAAGGTTTCCTAAAGCCTGAGCAGGGGGTTGGACTAGAAGACCTCCGAGGTCCCTTCCAACTGTGTTAATTCTATCTGATTGTGGTTTACTTATCCTTCTCTTATATCCTAATGCAATGTTTCTCAATTTTAGCAACCTGAGGATAGGTGGACTTCAACTCCCAGAATTCCCCAGCCAGATACATATAACAAAACCATGCTGGCTGGGGGATTCTGGGAGTGGAATTCCACCCCTCTTAAAGCAGGCTGGCTGGGGAATTCTGGGAGTGGAAGTCCACCCCTCTTAAAGCATGCTGGCTGGGGAATTCTGGGAGTGGAAGCCCACCCCTCTTAAAGCAGGCTGGCTGGGGAATTCTGGGAGTGGAAGTCCACCCTCTTAAAGCATGCTGGCTGGGGAATTCTGGGAGTGGAAGCCCACCCCTCTTAAAGCAGGCTGGCTGGGGAATTCTGGGAGTGGAAGTCCACCCCTCTTAAAGCATGCTGGCTGGGGAATTCTGGGAGTGGAAGTCCACCCCTCTTAAAGCATGGCTGGCTGGGGAATTCTGGGAGTGGAAGCCCACCCCTCTTAAAGCATGGCTGGCTGGGGAATTCTGGGAGTGGAAGTCCACCCTCTTAAAGCATGGCTGGCTGGGGAATTCTGGGAGTGGAAGTCTACCCTCTTAAAGCAGGCTGGCTGGGGGATTCTGGGAGTAGAAGCCCACCCCTCTTAAAGCATGGCTGGCTGGGGAATTCTGGGAGTGGAATTCCACCCCTCTTAAAGCAGGCTGGCTGGGGAATTCTGGGAGTGGAAGTCCACCCCTCTTAAAGCATTGCTGGCTGGGGAATTCTGGGAGTGGAAGTCCACCCCTCTTAAAGCATGGCTGGCTGGGGAATTCTGGGAGTGGAAGTCCACCCCTCTTAAAGCATTGCTGGCTGGGGAATTCTGGGAGTGGAAGTCCACCCCTCTTAAAGCATGGCTGGCTGGGGAATTCTGGGAGTGGAAGTCCACCCCTCTTAAAGCATGGCTGGCTGGGGGATTCTGGGTGTAGAAATCCAGTTACCTTCAAGCTGCCAAGGTTGAAAAATACAGAATCAGCAAGGCATATTAGGGCTGGAAGAGACCTTGGAGGTCTTCTACTCCAACCCCCTGGCCAAGGCTGGAGTCTTCACCCCTTTTATCTTGGTAGTACCCCTTATATATTTCCGTCAGGGTCATTTCCTCTATACCAGGTAACCACGTTCGGAGTTTGCAATTCAGCATACTTCCTCACTCTCAAAATTTCATTCTCCAACCACAAGCACCAGATTTTGATGAGTTCCGCTAAAGCTTTTACCTGGTTAATTAATAACTAACAACCTTAATTACCAAGGGTCACATTTTAACTTGAGAGGCATCAGTTAGGTATTATTTCTGCCGAATTTACCTGTTGCATTTTTTATTTTATTTTTTTGGTGCGTTGCTAGTTTTTCAGTTGGCTAAGCGGGGCATTCCTTGTGTTGTTTTCAATACAGTGTGTGTCATTGGTCATTGTTATTACTGCAATCATTGTGTTTCTGGGATTCTGGGAGTGGAAGCCCACCCATCTTAAAGCAGGCTGGCTGGGGGATTCTGGGAGTGGAAGTCCACCCCTCTTAAAGCATTCTGACCGGGGGATTCTGGGAGTGGAAGCCCACCCTCTTAAAGCATTCTGACTGGGGGATTCTGGGAGTGGAAGTCCACCCCTCTTAAAGCATTCTGACTGGGGAATTCTGGGAGTGGAAGTCCACCCCTCTTAAAGCATTCTGACTGGGGAAATTCTGGGAGTGGAAGCCCACCCCTCTTAAAGTTACCAAGTTTGAGAAATGCTGCGCTAGAGTACTGTCCTTCTCCCAGCTGTATCTCGCCCTCACCCCTTGCCCCCCACCGGTTTTCCCTGCCGGCATGGACCACATCTGGAAGGCATCAAACCGGCAAAGTTGACTGAACAGGCAGCCTTCAGCCTGTCTCATGCTGCCCTAAAGTAGCAGCAGCAGTAGTAGTAGTACCATGTTTTCCCCAAAATAAGACCTCCCCTGATAATAAGCCCAATCAGGCTTTTGAGTGCATGGCAATAAGGCCAAGCACTTATTTCCGGGTTCAAAAAAGTATAAGACAGGGTCTTATTTTCGGAGAAACACAGTAGCAGTAGTAGTGGCAGTAGTAGTGATGATGATGATGATGATGATGATGATGATGATGATGATGATAATAATCAGGATGCTGGATGCTGGCAGCAACCCATATCAACCATCAGTGCCAGTCAATAATATTTGTGATACATTTTAAAATGTTCAGTTGACTGAGTTTCATGTTTAATGAATAAAAGTAAATAATAATAATAATAGTAGTAGTAGTAAGATAAAATAGATCGATTATAAAATACATCAAGAAATTGCAGCTTCCTGCAATAACACCAGCGGAACTGCAAAAAACTGCACTACTCAGAACATCGTACATCTTAAGAAGGTACTTGGTCGATACTGAAGATCACGTATCAACCATTAGCACCAGTCAATCGTATTTGTGATGCATTTTTGAATGTTCAGTTGACTTGAGTTTCATGTTTAATGAATAAAGTAAGTAAGTAAGTAAATAATAATAATCTTAAGGTACTTGGTCGATACCTAGGACGCTGGCAGCAACCCGTATCAACCATTAGCACCAGTCAATGGTATTTGTGATGCATTTTTGAATGTTCAGTTGACTTGAGTTTCATTTTTAATGAATAAAAGAAAATAATAATAATAATCTTAAGAAGGTACTTGGTCGATACCTTGGACGTATCAACCATTAGCACCAGTCAGTGGTATTCGTGATACATTTTTAAATGTTCAGTTGACTTGAGTTTCATGTTTAATGAATAAAGTAAGTAAGTAAGTAAATAATAATAATCTTAAGGTACTTGGTTGATACCTAGGACGCTGGCAGCAACCCGTATCAACCATTAGCACCAGTCAATGGTATTTGTGATGCATTTTTGAATGTTCAGTTGACTGAGTTTCATTTTTAATGAATAAAAGAGAATAATAATAATAATAATAATAATAATAATAATAATAATAATCTTAAGAAAGTACTTGGTTGATACCTAGGAAGCTGGCAGCAACCCGTATCAACCAATAGCACCAGTCAATGGTATTTGTGATGCATTTTTGGATGTTCAGTTGAGTTTCATTTTTAATGAATAAAAGAAAATAATAATAATAATAATAATAATCTTAAGAAGGTACTTGGTCGATACCTAGGACGTATCAACCATTAGCACCAGTCAATCGTATTTGTGATGCATTTTTGAATGTTCAGTTGACTGAGTTTCATTTTTAATGAATAAAAGAGAATAATAATAATAATAATAATAATAATAATAATAATAATAATAATAATCTTAAGAAAGTACTTGGTTGATACCTAGGAAGCTGGCAGCAACCCGTATCAACCAATAGCACCAGTCAATGGTATTTGTGATGCATTTTTGGATGTTCAGTTGAGTTTCATTTTAATGAATAAAAGAAAATAATAATAATAATAATAATAATCTTAAGAAGGTACTTGGTCGATACCTAGGACGTATCAACCATTAGCACCAGTCAATCGTATTTGTGATGCATTTTTGAATGTTCAGTTGACTGAGTTTCATTTTTAATGAATAAAGAGAATAATAATAATAATAATAATAATCTTAAGAAGGTACTGTACCTAGGACGCTGGCAGCAACCCCTATAAACCATTAGCACCAGTCAGTGGTATTTGTGATGAGTTTTTGAATGTTCAGTTGACTGAGTTTCATATTTAATGAATAAAGATAATAATAATAATATATTTAGAAGATACTTGCTTGATACCTAGGACGCTGGCAGCAACCCGTATCAACCAATAGCATCAGTCTGTTGTATTTGTGACACGTTTTTAAATGTTCAGTTGACTGAGTTTCATGTTTAATGAATAAAAGAGATAATAATGATGAGGATGATGAGGATGGACGCTGGCAGCAACCCATATCAAGCATCGGTGCCAGTCATTCATATCCGTGATATATTTTTAAATATTCAGTTGACATTTAAAAGTTGAGTTTCATGCTTAATGAATAAAAGTTGATAATAATAATAGTAGTAGTTGTAATAATGCACTAAAAAACTCAAAAGAATCCCACCCAGTTTGCAGGTTGCAAGGGGGAGAAGACAGGAACTCGGCATGGGTCGTGGGGATGTGGGGGGGGGCCCTC